TGCGAAGAAAACATTTCTGTTATAACAAAAATTATTATAGTGCGGCTTTTTTAAATCTGGACGCATCTGAAAACGGACATAGTTAGAAAAGGGACACAACTTGAAATTAGTTTGTTTTTTTTAAAAATGGACCTACCATTTGATTCTGATTTTTTAAACTTGTGAAAATTGTTCCTCAACTAATAAATGCATTATGTTATAACACCCATTTTACTTAGTTTATATTTTTTTAAACTAGGTATTTTTGGAAAGATATAAAAAGTGAACTTTAATGAGGTTGTCACGTGCTCTATAAATTTATAACAATGATATTAAATTGATTCTGATTAACTGACTCAAATCCTTTTACGATTATTGATCATCAGTTGTTTATGACCGCTATACAATTAAAACTGCGAATCATGCTTCACCTGATAAAATTTTTTGGTATATTAAGTTGCCAAACCGTTTTTATACGGTTGGGCCAGTAGAAATTTAAACATTTTCACACTTATTTCAATGCGCATGGCAGTTAAACTCTAGAGCTGTGGTACCTCACCTCCCAATGAGGTGACCCAGAATTGACCAGTCGTACACATAGCTAATTTACCGAATTTTCTTATTAAAATAACAGACTTTATTCGTTAAAATAGATTATTTGGTTGCTCAAATAATGATATTCGTTTTTTTAAAGGAACAGGATGTACCGGCATAAAAACAAGTGTTTGATTTTAAATAAAGTATTTCTCTGCGTAAAAAAACGATTTTATACTGACACACTAGCTAACATTTTTTATCCAAAAATTAAACAGACTTTTTGTGCAGTGTAATTACTCATTAATTACACATTTTAGTGCATAGCTTCTTTTTATTTAAATAATTGTCTAGTCAAGCATGATTCACGTCAATAATAGTATAACGATTTTTTTTTATGTTTCTTTTAAACGAATTAGTACTGTTTCTCCATTAACTTTGCTTTTCAGTATATAATATTTTTTTATTTCTGTTACCGTAAAAAACTATGCATAAAATTATAAACACAATAAACACTTGGCTGTAGATAACTTTAGGAATATGAACTTGTTAATGCTACGTTCACGTTGGTCTTTGAGTTTATCGGACATAGCGAATGAAAAATAATGAATGAACTTTTAATGAACTTCGTTTTTTTAATAGGCTCTGTTTGCGATAAAACATCATTGTTCTTATTTTTAAAATAATTAAATAAAATACAGAATCGTATGTTAACTTAATCGTAATCGTAATTGGCTAATAAACATGGAAACAATGGCAGTCAGTGAAAAAATTACATTTTTTCAGCGTTTTTCCCGAACGATCTAAGTGAAATTTTTCAACCGTTCTTAGGCTCGGGTGCTAAAATTGACCCTACTGTTCAAATTTAAGAACGCTAGATGGTTCTGAGTTAGAAGAGTGCCACATAAACAAACTTTTTGTCTAGTTGAATGCCCACTCTTCGTACAGGTTGAAAAAAAGTAAATAATTATTAAATCGGTATTGAATCAACAGTGGGAAATAATGCACGAAACTGATTGACGTAATTAATAGCGATAAATAATTCCCATATGCTTTCATTTATCATTATTTGTTCCCCTTTTCGATGATTTAATACTATTAAATTATGAAAAACACGTTTTTAGAATTTCAACCCACCAAAATAAAGATTAACAATTTTCAGTATCATGGTGTCGAAGCCTACTAAAAATATTCAAATTTTACCACATTCATGCAGTATTTTCCATGGCTGAGTGCATAAAAAATACCTACTTTGCCATTATCTCCTAAGTAATAAAAACTAAAACCACCAAATAGATAGAGAATTTTTAAAAAACAGTAATTAATTAATTAGAGTCGTAAATTTACTCATTACCGTTTGAGGGAATAGAGATAAAAAAATCGCCAAACTATTAGAGAAGCCCCCTATGGCAAATTATTACCAAGTTGATATTGAAAATATTTACGGTAATACTTCATTTCAAAAAGAAAGTCTGAAGTCCTAATCTTAAAAAAGCTTCTTGTGCCAACTCACAAATTGCTCCAAATGAGAGTCTTCCGAAACTATGCTAACCAATAACACTAGTAATTTTATAATCATTGTTTAGATCTAATGTCATAGTATTACAATTAATTTTTTAGTTCTGCTACCAATTATCTTGCTTAATTGATACTACTTCAAAACTTTCATTTTTTGTTATATGGTGCCTTTTTCTATTTCCATTCCAATCCATAACATTAAAATGATTAAAACAGAAAAAAAAATATTAGTTTAACTTACTAAAACTCACTCGTTCTCGAGATATGGCGAAATAAGCAAAAGGTAAAATTTAAATTAAGGGGTTCGAACTTTGTGTGGGGGCCCTATTTCCCAGATTGCGGCTACTTCCTGCATTTTTGGGTTCAGAAATCCAAGTCCATCGAAAAAAAGGTATCTTTATTCAGAAAAAGTACGTTTTTGTGTCTGATTTCCTAACTTAAAATATCCTCTGCACTTAGCATATTCCAGGTGACTCCTTTTCAAATCATTAAGGTTGAGTCCTAGAACGTAAAGATTGGATAATTATATCAAATGTTATTCTGTGTGCTCCGTTTATTTGTTGAATTTTTTTTTTGGCTTACTGTACACCAAATCTGGTGCGTGTAAGTTTAGAATTACGGGTTTGTAAAAGGAACAAATACACATACATACACACTTGCATCTAAATATTTTGCTTCATTTAAAATAGCTAACAGTAACGAAACTGTAATTAATAATGATACGAAAGTTTACGTATTTTAAAGAAAAAGCAAAGTATTTTTCCTTAATGTTTCTTTTAAACTTGAAAAGCCGTCATCATTCATAATGTATGACAAATATCCCACACACTATTTATTTATTTTTTTTACACGACACATTTTTGACGTATGCAAATAACAAAAAAAAAAATTTAAGTGAAGGTAGAACGATGAGTTTTGAGGTGGAAAAAAAGTCTTCATTAATTCATACAAGTTTCGACAGCGTTTTAAAGCGTTTCGTTTCACGAAGTGTCCATTAATAAGCGATACACACGTTTGTGTCGCGAGTTACAAATTAAAACTAAAAAAAAGATTACAAGCGGTCATTCAAAATATTCTTTGTGGAGTGTAATGAAGACTGGTCTACTTTTTTAAAGGCATTTTCTGTTCCTTCCATAACTGTGTACAGGAACACTTCATTTCTAAATACCAGAATCTTTCGTAATACTGCTTAAAGGGTTAAATCTAAAACCTCGTGATCGAAAAAGTTTACACCAAGCTCATGCTCATTCACACCATACGGTAAATATTTTTGCTTCCTTTTTTCTTTATCGCCAAAAGCTTGTTTGCAATCGAGGAATTGAAGTTACACTGTTAAACAATTAAGGAATATGCATGTATGTTTTTAGTTGTGCAATAAGAATAGTTCAATTTAAACTGTGTAAAATAATTTTATAATTTATATCCGATTCTGTTCCATCTCATATAGTTTATATCCGATTCTGTTCCATTTCATATAATTTATATCCGATTCTGTTCCATTTCATATAATTTATATCCGATTCTGCTCCATTTCATATAATTTATATCCGATTCTGTTCCATTTCATATAATTTATATCCGATTCTGTTCCATTTCATATAATTTATATCCGATTCTGTTCCATTTCATATAATTTATATCCGATTCTGTTCCATTTCAGATAATTTATATCCAATTCTGTTCCATTTCATATAATTTATATCCGATTCTGTTCCATTTCATATAATTTATAACCGATTCTGTTCCATTTCATATAATTTACATCCGATTCTGATAAAGCATTCGAATGTGTCTTTTGGGATACGAGTATGTTAGATTTGCAAGCTAATTTTGTTTTCAGAAATAGGATGCACCAAATGCTGAACGATACGGTGCACTTGCGGTAACTCATAATGAATATACAACACTGTGAGAGAAAGTAATAAGTCGCGCATGCGCTTTAAAATCATTGTAAGAAGTTTCGATGCGCGTTTCGTTTTTCTTGTTAATGTCTCAGGGTGAGAGTAAAATCAATTGCTGTTAAAAGTTAAATAAAATTTCATTAAGAGTTAAAATAAAAAGTCATGGGGCATAGGTGTTTAGTATTTAAAATTAGTTAAATAAAGTAATAATTGAAAGAGTTTGGACTTGCAGAGCTGTATGGAGCAGCACCTTTTTTAAACTGGTTAGGTCTGATGTGCATTGAAAGATGTTTTAATAGCTGACTTAAATAGTTTGACGAAATAATTGATAATTTTTAAATTTTTTCACTTGTTATATTTTTATATTGTTATATTTGTTTCATTTGTTATAAATTGAAAAACCTTGTGTTTCTTACTTTAATTATTTTAATTAGCTTCTTGGTTTTGAAAATTATTTTATTATTTAAGGATTGCAAATGGTTATCATCTCGATTTTTTTTCTAATTATGCATACTTTAAAATTGTTTTATTTTATATTCATTGAGTCTTTGGGGTGATAAAAATGTGTTTAAGTTTGTTTTTTAAAATTATTGCATATCTTAAAAATGCTTTATTTTATGTATCCCAAATTTTTTTTTGTTCAAATTTAAACAGTATGACGTGTTATAGGGACCTAAAACATTTCAACTCCCGGGGGCCCTGCTTGTTATTATTACGGCCCTGTAATAACTGGGTCTTCAATACTAACTCAACACTGAGTACAACAATACCATTTCTAGTTCTATGCTTAATTTTCAATAATAGTCAAAATAAAACAATTCATAAACGTATTCGACAACATTAAAATTGTAGAATAAAATTAGTAAACAGGTAAATCTTCATAATTTTTTTTTTAATTTTATGCTAAGGCAACTTAAGATGTGAATCTTCGGTTGCTAAGTATTATTTTTATAGTCTGAGCAATAGAATTTAGTCAGATAAGTTTTATTAAACATAAAGTTAGCTTCTTAGAAAAGCATTTCAGAAATATATCAGATTTGTAATTGTGTTGATTTCTTGTCTTTTCAGAGGTTTTGGATTTGTAACCTTCGCCGACCCCGACAGTGTAGATAAAGTTTTAGCAAATGGGCCGCACGAACTCGACGGTAAAAAGGTAAGACAAAAAGATTTACTCATTATCCTTGCCTTAAACATAAGTCCAAATCATTATCTGATAATAGTAATTCCAGAGGCCAAAATAGCCTGGTTGGTAGGGCACTGGACCCGTGTCCAAGAGTTTGAGGGTTCGTTCCCAGCCGGCCGAAGACTCCCGTGTAGTAAATGATGACTGATGCACGTTAAATCTGTCGAGTCGCAAAGTCTTCCATGTTCCCATAACAAGTCAATACCTCTGGGGGTATTGATCCAGGAGTCTCCTTGTCTTCTGCATTGGCTCAAAATTACAAGGCTACGTAGTTGAATATTAGTAGTCGTAAATTCTGTAGTAGTAGTCGGCTGTTCAAGAACGGCTCGATTTTCATAATAAATTACATCTTACTCACTTTGTATTTATAGAAGGAGAAAAAAAGATAACCTTCAGTTTTTTTAGAATCTGACTTAATTTTCTCTGTCATCAATTATTCTTATAAGAATTGATTCGTCTTATGCTAATTATATGAATTGAATTAAAAATCATTTCAAGTTATTATTTCAAAAATATTAATTTACATTTAAAACTGCAAACAATGTTTTCCTTGATAAATACATTGTTCAATCCCTTTGTATTCTTCACTAGAATTAAGTAATAACAGGTACAAATCAAACTTTTACGATAGAAAACTATTTGTATTATATCGTAGAATTTTTTTTTTTAAAAATCAGAAAGTCGAAAGCTCTTTTAATGCATGCGATCTATTACTAAGTATAATTTGTAATTCATATTTTGGAAATTTATTGTTATAATTTATATGTTTTCAAAAGTTTTTAAACTAGTTTGAAAAAAAGAACATTTATAACGTGTGTTTGAAGTTCTAAGCACTGTTACAGATGCCACCGGCAAAGTATGAAACGAATTCTACAGAATGTTTAGGCATTGTATATAGTGCCGGACGTTTTTAGGCAAGGTATGAAATATGATATGTATTGCATACTTTCCCTAAGCATTGTATGTTATACCCAGGCATTCTATAGAATGACAAATGCTATTTAGGACAAAGTATGAAATAAAAACGCCCTGATGAGGTTATTATGTAAATGATGTGCATTTCTAAAAAAAATATTGTTCTTAAAGAATAATGAGAGTGCCATTTAAAAAAATTTATTCAAAATGCGTAAAGAAAAATGAAAGTTGTACGAAGCATAATTTATGCCCTTCTTATTAAGGGAAACGAAATTTTCATTTAAAAAACTAGAAATTAACCTACTTGTAGCAACATGACAGGCTTGAATGACGTTTTGAATTACATTTCATTGCATTACGAAACGAATCGGAGATGTATTTTATACTTTGCCGGTTTCTCATTTGGCATTCTATAGAATGCCTAGGAAATGTTTGAAGCATAAATCGTTCCACGCATTGCCAGCTAGTTCTAGGCATTATATACAATGTTTTATAGAATGCCGGATTTCAAACTTTGCCGGTAACATAGATACCAACAAATGCTGATGTCCAAAGATATAAATTATAATGAAGTACTACAAAATATGGCCGCCTGAGCAAATCGAAATTGTTAATCATATTTTTAAATTGTTAAAAAGACCCTATTTATTAGAGTTTAGAGGGGAGGAGGGATTCTAATCTGTTTCCAAATAAACAATAAGATTTTTCTCTATATTGTCCTTTATTTAAGATAAAATTCATTTCCTGGAGAAGTATTTATCATTAGAAATAATTCTAAGTTGTGTAGATATTGAGTTGGAAAAAGTGTGGCCATAGAAATGAAACAAAACCTGATGAAATGAATCATTAATTATTTATAGAACTGAAACAATTATATCATTAAAAGTTAAGCACTATATGAAGAGAATTCGTTAAAAAAAATTTATGTCATTTAACGCTAGAAAGATTGAAACTTAGTATATATACCTATATTGCCCAAAAGCAGTCAAAATGACAGGATTGTGAAAGAATAAATAATGTGTACAGAAATTTGTTTTAAAATTAATTTTTTATACTATTTACAGTTATATAGCAAGTTATTAGTAAATATTAACAATAAAAAAAATTTTATGTTGTACAGAAAGTCACAAAATTCTAAGAAATTGTGTCATTGTTTTTCTAATTGAAATTAAAGCAGTCAAAATGACTTCCTTGGGAAATCTAGTGTTAAAGACTGAGAACTTGTGCCATATTTTCATTACGTAAAATGTAAGGACTTTGTTCAAGCGTGTCACTGCAACATGTATCTGAAAATTTAAACAAAGCATAGAAACATTTTAAAAATGCCTTCCTCACTATGGTTAAGTAAAGGATCTAAAAGATAGTGTCACTTATTCAATGGTAATGAATAAGGCCCGGATTTTGATGACATTCGCATTTTTTGCATTTTTGGACATTTTTTGTCCTTTAGAGCATTTTTTAAGATTTATAAGGCATTTTCTTTAAAATTTTAAGGCGTATTTTGCATTTTAAAGCATTTTTTAAATTTCTTGTTAAATTTTTCTAATTTTTATTATTTTTTATAATTTTTTATTATTACACTGGCTTCCAAACAATGAAGAAAATTTCTAGGATATTAACAGGTGAAGCAACATCTTTTCAAATTGAAGAAGAATTGTCAGTAAGTGTGACCGTCCTTTTCAAGTACGCACCAATAACATCAGTAGACGTTGAAAGAAGCTTCTCCTGGTATAAAAATTTGCTTTCAGACAAGAGACGCTCGTTTACATTTCAAAATATTAAAAAAAAATTTAATAATCCACTGTAATTCTGATATTTAGTAATATTATGAGATGGAAGTTGTTATATTCATTTAAGTTTCTATACAAAATGAAAATGTTTTGGAGTCAATATATTTTCTTTTTTTTTGTTATTTTTGGATATAAAACATATTTGTCAAACTTTAATGAACGTAGAACAAGTATTGCATTGCTTTATATTTTTTGAAACGACTCATAATAATTTTAAAGAGTAAAACATTGTTTTAGTTCAATATTTTTACTTCTATTTAAGTCATGTCATAAGGCATTTTTAGCGCAATTTTCGCATTTTAAGAGCATTTTTTGCACTTTTAAGGGAATTTTTTGCAGTTCATAAGGGCAATTTTTGCACTTTTTAAGGGCATTAATTGAGATTTTTTAGGTCATCAAAATCCGGGCTCTAGTAATGAATGACCATTTATTTGAATCGTAAGCACCGTCGGACTGAACCAAAGAAAACTAAAATTGTGTAAAACGATGCCAGCTCTAAATCAATCTGAACTGAGTGCAGGTCTATTATTGCAGAGATCAAGGAATTTCAAACGAGTCGCTAAAATATTCAGCAGAAACGAACAGCAAGTAGAATTTTCGGGACTTCCATTAGCAGAAAGTGTCATTTCAAAATAATCATTTCTTGTAATTACATAAAATCGTTTAATCGACACAACACCACCAAACTCCATGACACAAACTAAATCTTTAATGACATATAATACTTTTTGCTCAGTACTTGAGAAGTGGGTCTATGGATCATGTGGTAACATTTGCCAGCAAAACAAATGACAAAAGTTACGTAAATATTTCAAAATCACATCACTATAATGGTTGCTGTACAAAGATAAAATATAGGATGGAAGCTATTAGTATGGATTTGACTGTTGCTAATGCTTCCTCGGCAGATGTACAGTTTATTTTTTTTATTTTATATCCGTTGTTGAGCAGCCGACCCATTTTTTTGAATTTACGACTACTAATATTCAACTCCGTAAACTTGTAATTTTGAACCCAATACAGGAGATAAGGGAACTCCTGGATTAAGTATTGGGAGAAATTTGTCTTCGGGGAGAACTTTTAGGTGAAATTAATCTGCATTTGCTTTACATGAAGAAGAAAAACACGAAAACCTTCCACGGTTAGCCTAACAGCGAGGGGATTCTAACCCATGATCCGTCTACTACTGAGGATATTTCACGTCAGCACTGTAGTCGGAGCAAACCGAATGCTGAATTCGTATCAACCATCCATCGCTGGGATTCGAACCCATTAACCTCATTGGAAGGCGAACGCTCTATCCCCTGAGCCATCAGGGCTCCAACAGATGTACTTCACAAAATTTATTATTTTCACTTTGATGAAATGTCACTCAATGGAACATTTCCACAGACGCACTGCAGCACAGAGAATGGTTTAATTTAACTTTGGGAAGAGTCCCCACTAAAATTTATCCTTGTTTTAAACGGATGGATCTTTAAAATTAAACCTCTCGAACACCTCTCGATATATAACCTTTAATTTGACTAGGCTCGGTTGAAGACAAAATATTTGACCCTCATTCCGCCCATTGATCGTTTAATATCGTTTTCAAGTTTAATCTGTGGAATTTCTATAGAACGATTTTCTTAATTAAAAATTCTCAAATTAATGAAGAAAATTAAGCAATATATATTAAATGATAACATATTAAGAAATGTAAAAGTTTTTTTTAAAAAAATTAACATTTACTCAAAAACACCCAAGTTTCAGAGTATACATGGAGGTAACATGAGAAAAAGTGTGCGAATTACTTATTGTTTTTGTTTTTTTCGGGATTCCGTTGAAATTTATTTCATCTCAAAGAAATGGGTGCAGTATTTTGCGTAATTACCACTCATAAATAGTAGATATATATGAATCAATAAAAAATTTTAAAAAGATATTATTTAGTTAATTTTTTTTATTTCAAAAGCACTTAACTTTACATCATTGGCCCCCATGCATCGAAGATGCATGAGATTGTAGCATATAAAACAAAAGCTGAACCATTGAACAATACAAGAACAATATAATAACAAGAACAATAAATACTTGCAGAACGTGAACCACTTAAACACGAACGAGAATCAGTCGCTGGATACCAATTGCATCTTATTTAGTTAAGTAAACGTACATACCAGAGTTAACAACGATTTGTCAGTTTTTTAAAGTTTTTTGAATAGTTGGATTTATTTGAAAACTTATCCATCTTCAAAAATAATTTGCACTATTTTCTTCGAAAAT